GCAGTAGTAGCAGTAGTAGCAGTAGTAGTAACAGTAGTAGTAGTAGTAGTAGTAGTAGTAGTAGTAGTAATAGTAACTGTTGTTGCTGCTGTTGTAACAACAAGAGCATCAGAAGTGATAGTCGTTGTCGTAACCATAGCAGTACTACTACTCAAAATTAACACGAACAGTGTAGTCATCAAGCAGTAGCAACAAGCTGCATTGCAGGAGCAGGGTGTTAGCACAGAAACTGCTAAAGTCTCTTCGAAACCTGAACAACAACAGCTTGAACTGGCAAGACGAAGACCTCGAGCTTCACGGCAATGCTGAATGTCGGCTTGACTTTCGCAAGCTTACCCCCGAAGCTTTCGAGGTAAGAACTGCGCCACCCTGCTGAAAGCTCGTTTTTGCCTAAACTCCCGGACACTCCTAGAACCGCGAACCCTGTTTGCCCTACCAACTTAGGCCAGGCCATTGACCACAAGCCTCGCCTGGAGTGTCCGAGTGTGGACGCCGAAACCCTAGACCTTCAACACCTCAGTCTTGAGTTAAGTAATTTGAGGTTGTTGTTATAAGACCCTTAAAGCCCTAGACCCTAAAACCTAAACCCTAAACCAAGAAAACTAAACCATATAGACCCAAAACCCTAAATCTATACCGCAAAGACCCTACGTCCTATACCCAGAAGACCTTAAAACCTCAAACTCTAAACTCTACTGACCCTACACCCTAAAGACTCCACACACTAAGACTTGAGTTAAGTACTTCAGATCCCCAGTATAAGAACCCTAAGCCCTAAAACCCCAAACTCCTACAGCCCAAAAGCTCAAAAGCCCTAAACCCCTAAAACCCTGAACCCTAAAGCTCAAAAGCCCTAAACCCTAAACTTCACCCCTGAAGCCCTAAACCCTAAACCCTAACTCCCACACCTTGAGGCTTAAGTTAGGTCCCTGGCTGTTCCCTAACCCGGCCTCGGGCCAGGCAGCTTCCGAACCTCGAGCCTGTCACTGGTGCAGCAAAGCAGGTAGGGTTTAGGATTTTGGGTTCTGTGAGGGTTTAGGGTTTTGGGTTGTGGGTTCTGTAAGGGTTTAGGGTTTAAGGCAAAATGGTTCAGGGTTTAGGGCAGGGTTTAGGGCTCGGGCAGCACCGAGCGGTACCATAGCCCCCATAGAAGTGCGGTAGACGGGGCCCCAAAGCCCAGCTTTCCTAATCACCTAGGCAAAACCCACTCCCCAAGCAACACTTCCAAGACACCTAAAGCCCAAAACCATGAAGAGCCTAAACCCTAAACTCCTAAACCCTACGGTAATCATCTATCTGCCTTTAGTCCCTTTGTCCCTGAGACCCCTGGTGCTGTGACTCAGACATGTTAAGGGTAGTCATGGAACCCCTGAGCTGGGTTTGTCTAAGCGCAAGGGAGCTCCCTGCGGGTATCGGCTATATGGGTAGTTCTCTAAATCAGGGTCCCTTTTTAGGGTCCTTCTTATAAGGGTGCCGCACTATGAAGGGACCCTGATTTAGAAAACTACCCATGTCCCTTTTGGGCTGGTGATCCAGTGTGTTGGATCTCGTTGGTCCACGAATCCGTCTAGTCTTGTTTCACCGCTCCGACTCATGCCTCGCCTGGACTGTCCGAGTGGCGAGCGCCGGAACCCTACAACCCTGGAGCCCAAAACCTTGGACCCTAAGCCCTAGAATCCAAAACCCTAGAACCCCAGACCCCTAGACCCTAAAACCCTAAACCCCTAAACCCCTACACCCCAGAGCCCTAAACCGAAATCACAGAAATGCAGAAGCCTAGGCTAGGAGGCGATGAGGATGCAGACCCGGATTTCGAAGAGATGGATCCTTGGCCCTTTTTTAGGTGTCTGTGGATTTTGAGGGTTTTTTGGGGTTTAGGGTTTATGGTTTAAGGTGTTTGTGCTTTGAGGGTTTTTGGGTTTAGGGTTTAGGGGGGTTTAGGGTTTAAGGTTGAAAAAATAAGGTTTAGGGTTGCCTTTTGTGTATCTTTGGTTGGTTTCTCCTTCGGATTCATTCTTCAGCTTCCTGAGAACTAGAGGTAGTACAAACCCAAGGGTTTGTTGAATATACTGGTGTTATCATGGATACTTGGGGCTTTGAATATTCAGCTTTTACCTGGTTTCTTGTTCCCTGATTGAATACAGATCTCTCGTATAGTTGTATCGCAATCATAATTACTCTTCAAGCCCCCTTCCAAGCCTACAGCATTTTGGGATGTCGTTTACAGTCTAGTGTAGGGTGTTTTTGAGAGTGAGAGGGTTTAGGGCTTAGGGCCTAAACCCTCAACCCTCAACCCCAAATCCTAAACCCTAAACCCTGATTGAGGCTGAGCGTTTGTTTCCACTATACTCGTTGGACCCCGAGGTTCCTCACATACTGGGCCTAGGCTAGGGTTCCCTAGCTGATGACGGACGGCACTGGATAGGTTTAGGACGTTAGGATCTTCAGCGATTTCGGGTTTAAGGTGTGTTCCATGGTTTGTGGTAGTCGTTTGAGGGTCTTCTAAATTTTGGGGCAGGCAGTGGTAGCACACGCCACGACCGGTGCGAGAATACTTGCCGGGCCTCTTCGAAAGGATACTGTCTGTTCGGCTCGCTGGCAATCATGTCAGAAGCGCTGCTTATGCTTCTTTGTCGGTGACCTGCCTGCGTGTACACTTCTGCATGTGTGTTCAAGGATTGAAACAGCACCCACACGGAAGCTTTGGGTTGGGACATCCCTCTTGCACTGTCTTACTTAAATTTTGCCGAATATGGGATGTCCCTTATGGCCTTCTGGCTTTGCTTGTGTGGTTTTTTCTGAGTCACTCTGTGCATCTCCCTCCTTCTATCGCCTCCGCTCGCCCTTTGTCTCTCTCTTTCTGTCTCTGTCCACCCGCTGGCGACCTGGGTGCATGAAGTTTCAGAAGTTGTCCCAAACGGGCCTCGTGGTACCTGCGATTTACACATAGATCTTCCGGACTCTGCAAGACTTGTTAGCTACAACTGTCACCGTGCAGACTGGCTTCTCTTGATGTTACATTACTACTATTGTGCAGGAGGTGATGATATTTTATGTGAATGTCGTTGTGATCAGGTTGTTATAAGGCAAAACAACAAGCCGACCGCTTGCACCGCAGACCAACCCCGCCGTGGCATAAATATTGGGCGCAGGGTGGATGTTCAGAGCTGTTGTGTCTTATGGGGAGATTAAGTGCATAGACTTCATCTGCGGTTGAGGGTTGAGTAAGCCCCACCCCATGGCTTTGATTCTGTGGACCTTGCTTTTTCTCAAAGGCAGCGCGAAGCCGCAGACCACTGGCACGTATTACGAACCCAAGTTTCCAAGCCATGCGAACTGCAACAAGCTGCACAGCCCTAGGAACATTAGAGACGTATGCCACCCATCTCCTCAGTAACAAATCGTCGCCGGAGCCATGAACGGACCCTCAGCACGGGCCTTACGCGAGGGTGGCATGGGAGGTTCGATCCCCTACAAGGTAGGGGTCACACTCCAGGTGAAGCCAAAGGACAGCGGTCCCATCCCGAAGGAGTGGCTGAGGAAGACCACCTTACAGGCACCATTTGGCGACTTCGGCCAAATTCTTCGGATCGACGTCTCCGAGACGCAGAGGTGCGCTTACGTCGAGTACGAGGATCCGAGGGATGCGCAGGATGCTCAGAAAGACCTAGATGGGAAGCGTATAGCTGGCAAAGAGGTTTCTGTGCTCCTCGCTGGCCAAACTCCGAACCGTCGGCCGGGTAGTAGCCCGATGCCGGTGGCCGTCCCTGAAAGAGCCGTAGACATCGAGCAGAGGGTAGCAGAGATGGCCATGAAGCATTTCTTAGACGAAGCTGCAGCTGCTCGGCTTGCCAGTGTCTTCCAGGACCGGTCACGGTTGGGCTGCAACTTGGCCCGGGACTTTCAGGACTTGGACGAACACCTCTCGGCCTCGAACAAGCCTTCGGCGCTCGTGAGCATGAAGCTCTCTGAGCTTCGATCGGGGCGACCCATCGGCCCCTGCAAGTACCAGGGCGGCAAGAAGCGAAACATTGGCGACGCCATCGACCCGGAGATTCGCGCCAGCTACCAGAGCAGCAACTACTTCGGTGAGAAGGACGACGAACCGCCACATCGTGAGGCCCGGGATCGAGATCGGGAGCGGGAGCGGAGCGAGCGTCGTGACCGCGGCAGGGACAAGGAACGGAGCAGGCGTGGACCTGAGGGTGCCAGGCACAGAAGATAACAGAACTTGACGCATCCAGATTGAGGAGATGATATTCAGGAGCAATTGTCACTCGAGGAAAAAGTCGGCCGACAGGCGCAGCTTGTGAAGTTTAGCACAGCGGATTGGGCTTGAAAATTGCTAGGCCAGAGCCAGAACTTCCTCGACTCAGGTCAGCGATCTGCGGCGCAGTTTCGTGGGCTGGCTGAAAAAGGCCGAGCTCGAGCTGAAGCAGCACCGCAGCGACGTCAGGCCTGGAGGGCTCGACTGAATCCATGTCCGAGGGTGATTCCGCAGAGGAGCGCATGTAACATTGTGTGTGTTTGTATATACGTATATATGCATACATACATCCATGCATGCAT